GAAAAGGGCGTAGTAAGTCATACGGAGAGGCTCGTACGTCATCCTCCATCCGGGCCAACGGAGCAACACATGGAAAGGGTCTGTGGATCCTTCATGCACGATGAACGCACCTACCTACTTGGGTTGCCTCTTTAGGTCGTGGCGCGTTGGTGTTCGCGCACTGACACACGCGCGCTCGTACGCGCGCACACTTCGAAACCCGCTCGTACACCTCTATAGGTAGTAGAGGCTGAACCACTTGGTCACGGGCGTGCAACACGCACGCCTATATTCAACGCAACTCCGCCACGAACCAATCTTTTCAATTTTCCGATTGTAAATTGGTGCCTTAAATGGTTCGTAAAAACGTCGCGGGGATTACGCAACGGAAACAGCACGGTCAGAAACTGGGATCGGACATCAAGATAGAAAGTACACTCGGCCATGTTCGTCAGCCATTAAGGTATGCCTCCAAAGCGCCGAAGTACACCTTCGGGTGCGTGCTACGAGCCGCGCGATTGATCGATAAATGTTTTTCAGAGTCTCGTCGTACAACGAAACCGATCGGAATAATGGACGACGAGGGGAAAACGAGGATGAAAATGGTGGCAAAAAAAAAAAAAAAAAAAATGCGTAAATGTATAATTTACGAGACAATTCCCGTAGACGGTTGCTGGTAATTAGAACCTCGCGTGAAACGAATCAGTAAAAAAACGCCAGCCCATAAATGATTTGTACAATGAACTTGCCCGTGTTCTGTTCCAGCGAAACATTCCTACCACACACGAAGGAGGGACGCGGAACGATCTTGGTCGATACACACGAAGATATGTGCTCTGTATTACCGACGAGCCCTCGCAGCGACGATAGCGGTAAGCGTGGAGGCACATAAGGAGGAGGGGTAAACGAGCCGAGCCACGATTTCGTCGTCGTAAACGTCAACGTTACGGTTACAGCGTTGTTCCTAGCTGGTTTATATTGAACGAGGTTGCTCCCCGAGGTACGTAACACCTACTGGCAACCGTCGTATCGTGGAGTAGCACCATACTCGTTTCCAACTCGAGAGAGTGGCGGGAGAGACCACGTGGCTTTTACGCGGGAACCTCCGGCCGCTTCGGCACAAGAGTTCAAGGTTTGTTAGCTCTATCCTTTCGTACACAGCGCCGGGGCTAGACGAGCCGCCCAATAAAGATCGCCGTAACGACGCGATATCGACGCACGTAAATCAAAAAAGGAACAAGAAAACACGCCTGGGTCGTTAAAATTCCAACACGTACTTCGCATTTTTCTAATCAATTTAGGGACTTTGTTGGCTGCGGACAAACTATCAAACGCGGAGTAGTCTTGAATTACTGAACGATTCTTTTCGTTTAACATTTACGATTAATTTCTATTTGTTCTACATTGATTCTTTCGTATTGTTTTTTTGGGGCTCAATTTAGGTGTAACAAAATCCTCCCGATAGGTAGATTTCGTGACAGAATAGGGTCGAGTTCTTTAATCGATCTGACGTCGCTTTTTTCTCAACGTTGCGAGACAGGGTAACGCGAAACAAGAATTAACATTCTGAGGAAAGCCACGGGGAAACGAGGTACTTTCGCAGGAATAAATGAACCACGGGGTGTAGAGATAGTATTCGAAGCTCCGTCTTCACGCCCTCTAATTACCCCATAGACGCAGCGGACCCTTCAATGAGGTGCCATAAATTTCGCTCGCGTTTGAAAACAGCCCCGAAAGTGATACGGCACGGTATAAAAGCCTTTTGTGAACCGGACGATGCGTCTTGAGAATTACCCGCTAGTACGGAAAGGAATTCGATAAAACTAACCAACCCGCTCGATCATCCGCGGGACGGTCGTGGTGTACGCGCGTTGGCAACTCGTCGATGTTATCTAAATAAATGTCTATTAAAATAAAACTGCGCGTATCTATAACGATTCATTACACTCTCGATAGCATTATATTACTTCATTACCGAACATTAACGGAGGAGACATTTACATCTGAAAACGGTGGCGATACCGACGCTACGCTGCCGTCATAAATCACAATGAATTTCAACCGCGTGTTCCCTTTGATGTTTATCACGGCAATGATACAAATGCATTCCGCGTAATCAAGTTTCTTCGACGATCGTGCTCTCGTACGCATGCGTATTCGACCGTTAATGTGTCTCGAGATCGTGTTCCCGTAACACCGATCTGCAATAAAACGAACTTAATGATACCGTGTCTATCGCTCGCTGATTTGTGCGATTTGGGCGGCATAATCGCTACCGCAATCACTTATTGCACACTTAGCAGAGACGTTAACGTAAATACTGTTACGGGCGTAATAAATCATACTATAGATACAGCGTGGCATTTATTATTTCCGATAACGATTAAAAAAAAAATTCGCATACCGAAAGGGACAATCCGAGACGGAACAAAGTTCTCCCACGATTGAAAGATTACGTTGGGGATATATAGGATTTCAAACTAGCGTAACACATAGAAATGGATTGTTTTTACGTCGATTAAAGTTTAAAAACCATTGGAATATATTTTCCAGATCGTACGTATCCATAAATAAAGGAGTCTGTTTTTGATAATCACAGCTTTCAGAAGTATAAGATTGGAGTATCGTATGAGTAAGCGAAGTATACATTTTATCGAGGTACGAGGACGGTGAACTTTTTCACGCTCTAAACATTATAAATCGTTGTTTATCATCTGTACCGACCTCGTGTTTTTACGGTGCAGGCTATACACGCGCTGGTAGTAGTAACAGTGTCTCGACGGATTGGTTCTCCGCGTGCATGACGATAAAACCAAATTATTTATTATAGGCCAGTGCAACGAATGCCGGTATACACGTTGATGGCTCTATATTTACCCGCAGACTTTAATCTACGATGAAATAATCCATAATCCTGTATCGATAAATTTTCCTACGCGCGTGTATCGCTTGTACTAGCAACACTGAAGAGCACTTGCCGGCGCGAGTGCGAAATGAGTCAACGACTTTCGATCCGCGAAGCACATAGAACCTGTTCCACGAGAGCGCAAGCCGATCAATTGCCTTTTCCCGTTCCTACGATTCCTCCTACGATCGCCGCATTCCGCCGCATCGTCGACACGATTTGCAACTCATAATCGAAACGATTATATCTTCCGTTTCTCTGGCAAACACCAGGGAAATGCAAAACCACTTTCCCCTCGATCCGACCAGCCTGTTCATTGATCGTAAATCTGTTTCAGATGCTGAATGAAAGACCAAAGAAGCTGATTAAGGAATACGGGGATCTTTTTGCCCGATCGAAAAACGCGGGCATCCAAAAGTAGTGTTAAACGAGACAAGAACATCGCGCCTTCCGAACATTAAATTCTCTCTCGGCGATGGGATTTAGTATTTATAGAAGACGTAAAGAATAAAGGTTCGTTCAATAAAATCCCGTTTCTTCTTGTCTTTGAATAAGCACGCGCCTACGTCACGAGAGCTCATAAAATAATCCCTACACCCTTGTATGCATAAAGGGAGAGGACCTCGCATGGTCGAGCAGGAAGAAAAAATATAGGCGGGCCTGAAACCGGACTGTAGGGCGCGAGAAGGAGGCTAGAGAAAGAAGCTCGCGGGAGCGAGCGGAACGGGACCAGGCAGAAAAAGGATCGAGGAACCAAGACGAACAGTCTAAGGATCCAGCGGAGTTGGTGGAAAAGAGGCGGCGATCGAAAAGCGAGAAAGAACTTGTGAGAGGTCCCGGTGATTATATATCTACCTACGACAAAGCGAGAGGCTACTAGGGATCCTCTTCACTTGGGAGGGACAAAGACATCGCTAGAAACAGCTGACTACCGGAATTCGGGGTTCCGGAGGGGTGAGTACGACGAGGAAGGCACTTGAACCCCAATTGGACGAGGGCTTCCCCATTATACTCGACGTACCCAACGATTTTACACGCACTTGACTCCATTCTACCTATCCACCAGACGTAACTTTATCGCGCTCCACGACCGATTTTCCACGATCTGACGTTTACAACGTAAGGACATAAACTTTGGATACGTGCAACCGAATCGTTCGATCGACGTCCTCCTTTTTAAACTAGAAGAATTTTAAACGGACGTAAGTAACGGGCAACAAATGTCTTTCTACATCGAACGTCCCACGTATTTAGTCGCCTAACTTCGTAACATAAAGCTAAGACGTAGGAAGAGGTTCTTTTAGCAAGGCGGTTCCTCTCGATTCTAAAATAGAGACCATGTTATTTTTCAACGACGGCTGGCATACGCGGCGCTCAAAAGAAGTATACAGAGTCACGTGCGCATATTAATGATAACTCGAGGTGTCACTTTGCACGTCGCTTTCACACGAGCGGGTTAGTTATTAACAACCCCCGGCAGTCAGGCAGGCGGACACGCACGCAGTGCATTCATTCGCGCAGAAGGCAACGGAATATTTTTAGTCCACCGGAGACTATAAATCCGTTATCTCGGCTACGCTTCATGACGGATACGTCGTATTTCAATCGACGCACAAATAGAGTCAGCCAAAAAAAAATTACTACGACCAGTTTCGACCTTACATTCGACGATTGTATACAACGTGTCTTCCATTTTTCAGAGTGGAACCAGCGGAGGGAATGATTTGTTTCGATCCCTCCGCGAACGCGGAGGCGAGACGTCCAGTTTCCCCGTTAAATCCCCATCGATCTCTCGTTAAATACAGTGGAATTGGAAACGAGGTATGCTAAGTACAAGATGGAAAAACTAATGCGTTTGATAAACGTGCGTCTTTCACGTAATTCGTGCGTTGACCGTGAAACGTTGAACACGATTTAGTCTGACCGAAGACAGCACGAGTAAACTCGATCCACCACGCCTTTCCCGACCACGTGGCCTTACTCTACCGACTGGTGCTCTCTCCCCTAAGCACTCGTGTCGCTTCTATATTTCATCACGGCTGTTATGATAATCGTTGCGCGACAAAGACAGAGAGACCGTTCCAGAGAGAGAACGATCTTATGAATGTAAACTCACCTGCTATAGCCATCCAGGGGTAGAAGGTATGGTTCGCGGTGGCTTGCTGATGTAGTTGCGTGGCAACCGGTTGGCTCGCGGACGAGTTCAGACTGCAGGTGTTCCAGGACGACGTGAGGGACCTCGAGGAACTGTTGTTACCAGGACTCGATGCTGGATCACCGCCTACGAGACCACCGTAGCTACCAACCCTCGTGCCTTCTGGGGTACACGCGGAAGGACGTACGACCGAATTGCTCTGGCTGTTAGCTCCCGAGGTCGCTGACTGCCAAACGTCCTTGACAGCCGCGGCTGCCATCACGGCGGCGTAGCCATTCTGATGAGCCGCTGCTTGATCCTGTTGCTTGCAATCTTTCGTTGCTGTGGTCGAGTACGAGGACGTGGTGTGACCAGTCGCCTCGGGTGTCGTTGAATAGAGCTTGCAAGCCGTAGCGACGCTCGCGTCGTACGGCGAGTCCTGGGGTGGCCTCGTGTTGGTACCACCGCCAGGATGTATTCCCAACGAAGACGAGGTGTGATGATGATGTTGCGTGGATGCGTAAGGTGACATTCCCAGGCCAAGAGGGAAACTTCGATAGGCAGCTGCTGTAGCTGGATCGTGATGCTGACTGGCAGCCCCTGCCTGATGGTGGTGGCTTCCGTAGAAGCCACCCGCAGTCTGCTCAAAATACGAGTTCATTATCCCGGGTATTTTGAATCACTTGCACTGAAACACCGGCACTCGAGGATAACCAAAGCGTACAAGGGAAGCAATCACCTCCGTAGAGAACTGTTCGTTGCTTCGAATAAAAGGCGTCGAGCACACGCGGCTAGTCGACCGATACTAGTCCATGCTCCGACCCGATTTATCTCGGGTTAGGTCCGATCGTTCCACGGGATACGATTACTGTTTTCTGTTCCGTGTTCAGCTGATTGGCGCCAAAAGGCGGGCGAGTGGCGGACGCCTCGCGTCTCGTGAACCGATACGCTGTTTGACGCGAGCGGCGACAGGTGACAGAGTCGACGAGGGACGAGCAAATGGGCATTAAACCGCTTTTAAGAGGTCATAAAAGTCATCGGTAGGTAGGTAGGTATAGAGCGGCGGCTTGCACCCAGAGTGTCAATGTCAGTAGGCCGTGGGATTGTAATTTAGAATGGGACTCATGGCAGCGGCGGGGGCTGACTTTTATGGGTTTGTTATGGTTACAGCTACTGGCAAGAGTATAAACCGGCGGTCTAGGCGGTGGAAAACAGGCGATGATCGTTAAATCGTTACGACGCAATAAACCGGGGTAATAAGACGGGCTATAAAACTGCCTGTGTGGATCTGTACCGCGTGCGCGCCCGTCGACGGTTCGGTCGGCCGGCACGCGACGATCTCTCCCTCGCGAACACCTTCCTCTTTCTCTCTATCGTTTCAAAATGTATGTATGATTTGTGATCGGTCAGGCCCGGGGCCCCGTATCGGAAAGTCGGTCGATGGTTTAAAGGGACCAAAGCAACCGCTGACTCTGTCCGCACTGCACACTAGCACTAGTCGAAATGTGACTTCGCTGATGACTGTGAGAGGTTCAGTACGAAGCGACGTACGAAGGGGATCGTAACGAACCACGGTATGCCAGTGCGGTGGTCCACGGCACACTACCGCTTTTCTCGCGCCCCGTGTACCGCCACTCTGTACCGTCCTCTGTCTCTTGCTCGCTCGTTCGCCTCCTTTCGCCTCTCTGTTTCACCATCAGCTTCTCCTGCTTCCACCACCGACTTTCCTCCTCGCTCTCTCCTTTCTGACCGCTCCTTCTCGCTCTCGCGCGCACACTCTTCCACGGTGTACTATGTGCCGACGAGGACCGCGCACCGCTGCTTTTCCTCCTTGTCTTTCACGGGTCGTCCCCCTCTCCAATACGATAACCGACTTCTCTCGCTTCCTCCGTCGTCGCTCTTCTTCCCCTCCCCCGCATACGACGCCCCCTCCACGCTAGCTCTCTCGCCCTCTCATTCCATCTCGCTCCACCTCTCGACGCCGCGGCGCGATTCGTCTCGCCTCTTCTATGCTCTTCGACGGAACGCTCGCTCTTTCTTTCTCTCGATTAGACACTCCACGGCGCCCCCTGTCGAGCGCTCGGGCAACTCGACGACGTGCCGCGAGATTAAATTCGTGATCGCCGCTTCGAAACGTGCTGCGCCTCTCGCATTCGAAACACTACTGTAGATAAGACGTTCGAGACTAACCTAAGAAGGTCGGGAACGATCGAGGGATAGAAAAAGAATCGTTCGAATAGAAGACTGGACGAGACGGGGAAAAACGAAAAGAGGCAAGACCACGCGCGTAGAGTAAGGTTCAAGACGCGGTGAAGAAACAGAGAAAGGGAAAGAGAAACGAAGAGGGAGCGAGAAAGAGTAAGACGCGGAATTACGGCAGCTAAGAGGGAGACGAGAAGTACGAGGCCGCGGCGTCCACCGGGAGCAGAGGGGGGAAGAAAACAGGGTGCCAAGGGAGGAGGTTATGCTTAAGGACCAATCAGAATTGAATTCGTCACAAGTACCGCGCCAGCACAGCACGAAAATTCCTACGCCATGTGAAAGTAGTTCCAAGTTGGAACGACGCCCATGATCGGCTAGGCGCCGCCCCGCGTTACCCCCACCAAACGGTAACGCGCGAGCAGCCGCGGATACAGACACGTCGACCGCCGTGCGGTAGAGCGAAAGCTGCACGCCACACGCGCGTCACGCAACCTTTCCTCTCCACTCCTCTTTGCTCAGCGCTCGACGGCCCCGCTCGTGGGGATACGTGCACCGCCACCTCTGAGTTTCACGGGGAACTAACGCTGCCAGATCCATTCAGACGTTCAAACGACCAACATCAACGAGGCACCTTGCGATTATCGTTATTGGCGAAAGCGGTCTCGCGAATTGACTCTTACATGCGATCGTTTGATCGACAAGCGGTAGAAAAAGAAGGAAGGGATATAAACGCATATACGGAAAGCAAACGTTTCATACGCGGGAAACAAGTTTCGTGACTTCGATTCAGACACAACCGGTCCGATGTTGCACAGAGCCTGTCCGAGGCGTTCGATGACGACGCGATTGCCGGTACGAACGACAGGAATGTTATCATAAACGTCTTTTACGAGATACTTCGGCGTTTTACGGACCAATTAGACTACAGCCGTACAATTAAAACGCCGTAAAAGTGGGCCTCGTGAGGCAAGCGGGCAAGCAAGCGCCGTGGCGCGCGCCGCACCAGTATCGGGAATGTTTATTGGGATGTAAATGTCGCTGGATTATCGCCCCCGCGGTTCGCACCTCGTAAATTATTCCGTAACGAGCCGAGTAATGCCCATCATAAGCTGCTCTCAGGGGCCGGACCGGACTATTTGCTCGTTCACTTTCGCCATTATGAATGTTTAGGATATAACCCACCTACTTCGAGCGTGCTTCGGAAAAAGGGTTTATAAACGCTTCACGCCTCACGGAACAACATCGTTTACGAATAATTATTCGAACGTTGCCTTTGAACACATGTTATTGTTACAACACATCATTTGTCACTTTTTATTACGCTTTAAGATGATATCGCTCTTTGTTCGTGATCACCTTCGCGGCCCATTGTCTCTGTTGGTTGCATACCGTATGCATACGACATATTGTAACATTGTTAGATAGAAACTTAAAATGACGGCTGTAAAATTTTTCCACAACTCGATAAAATAGCAAATACCAGTTTTAGGAATAAGTCGTAATGCCTTTGAGCTTACTCCGAATGGAACATATAATCTGAGAAGATTGTTTAACAGAAACCTGTACGCAATGCTATAAATTCCTGTGTGGAATCTATTTACACTCGGGCATACGTGTACCTCGTGCGTTATGTTTATTAGTGTTTCGAGCAAGTATTCCGATTCATGGAGACAATCGTCAAATAATACTCGGCTTGATAGAGACCCTGATGAAGAGACTTGCAGTTTTCGCTTTTGTGGGACTCCGACAGGTGGCAGCCCGTTTGCTTGAAAATCATGACGGCAATAAACTCCGGTTTTATGACCACTTGAACAGAATCGTAAAAGTCAGGGCCTTTAAGCTTATAGCATGGTAGGACGCGTGTCGAATATGGTGGGGGCGTGAAGAGAGCCACCATAATACAGAAGAAGGGGAAGGGTGTCAGGGGCTGTGTGGGTAGCCAAAATGGGCCTAAATGCCCCTTTTAAAACGCCATTGAAGATAACCAGGCAACCACTAAAAGGGGTTTATTTAATGACCAAGGTTGTTCTCACAGAACCGGACACTCTGTAGCTACTGACAACAGTTACCTGATGGCTTCATGATTATTACAAGTTTTTCCCCCCAGCGTGGTTACATTCAAACTATGTCTATCTGTGTTTCGTTGCACCGAACGCTCGTATTCGATGTTCACTTCGAAAAGACAACAACGATAAAATAGATAGATAGAAACGTTTTGAAAATCCTATTTCGATGTTATTTTTATTGCTTCGAACAGGGATCATGCGCCTTTTTGTTTCGGGCACAACGAAAGATTCATTAATTTTCTCGAAGCCAAAGATTAGGAACAATAAATCTGACTACGTATCGGAGACTATGATCGCGCGCGTAACCCGAATGTATGATGGACATCTCCTTATGGATTTCAAACAAAACCAAAACGAAGAAGCGAAATTCGAAAGTAGAAAGAGGTATTAGAGGGCGTAGCTATAGCAACGAGAAGATGGACACGAAAGAAAAGGGGCCATTGCACCCAACTCGAGCAAATCTGCACTCTTGCTAAACCAGCATCCATTCTTCATCGCTCTGGTGGCTTTGACTCTTCTGGTCTCCTCCAGCATGGTTCAACGCACTGCTTGGACTCTCATTTTGGTTGGTCTTTCTTTCTTCCCTCCTCCCTAACCCTACTGTGCTCCGCGGCTCGTTTCCTTCTCTTTTGCTTTCTTATACCCTTCTTCCTCCGCCCCTCCCCAGGGAGACCAGGGATGAATATTCGATCATGAACGAGCGTCAGAATTTCAGATAAGCGCGATTTTCGTCGTCGTTATTCGCACGGATCGAAACTCTTGGGGATCAACCCGTGATATAGAGGCACTCGCGGCGGTAGATGATAATGGCGTACCGGGCGGTGCATCGAAGCAGACCGCAACACTTTGCATTAGGTAGAAAAAATTATTTAAAATTAGAAAACATGGGAACAAAACACATCGATATATGTGTGATAGATTACGAAGAACAATTAGGCTCCGCCAGTTTTATCGGGATACTGCAATTTTTATCTAAATTGCTTAAACTTATGTAAGGTATAGAAACGAAGAGCGATTGTTTACGATAGCTGAACAAAGCTAAACTGAAAAACATTTCTACGCAATGTAATTCTCTCTTTTAAGCTGAGGCTTTTCTAATTTAGTCACTACTTGTAGCTTCACTTAAAATTCCATTTGTATTTCATCTTCTAAGTCGAATGCATAACTAAACAACAAACGACATAAGGAGATAGTTCTTATATAGACTCACTGGTAGTATTAAATTATAAGAGTTGGTGAATAAACAATGAATTGTAAGTATATTGATCTGTAAAATATCAGAGAGAAAGGCAGGATCGCGTGAAAAGGACACGGAAGAAGTCCTCTTTGCCATCTGGCGGTTTCCTGCAGTATCACCTGACTGCAAAATATCGTTGCAGCTCTCTGCAGTTCT